GAACGACGCGCCCCCCCCCCCCCCAACGCCCCTTTCTCCAAGCACCCCCTCTTCACGCCACCCACCCCAGGTTCCTGCCCATTGGCTTGACCAACCTGGCGGCGGCCATGGTGCCGGCCCCCCCCGTCCGCGCGCCCATCCATGCGCCCCCGGTGCTCCCCATCCAGGGCGCCGGTCCGCCCGGCGCCATCCCCCTGGAGGCCCGCCCGGCCCGACACCCGGACCCTGCGCCGCGCGGCGCAGGCGCACCGCCGCCGGCAGGCCAGGCGCAGCCCCCGCCCGCGGCCCGTGTGCCACAGGCCGACGGCGTGGCCGGGGCCGAGGAGCCCGCGGCCAAGGCGCCCGCCGGCGGCGTGGTTGAGGCGCCCAGCGCCGTCTCCGCCGCGGCACTCATGTCGTACGCTGACCGGCTGCGCTCCGCCGTCGGCGACGCGGCGCGGGCCGAGGCGGCGAGGGCCGAGGCGGCCGGAACTGGGGCGTCGGAGCCGGGGCTGCCGCGGCCGGCGTCACGCCCGTCCTCGCGGACGGGGGCCACCCCCTCCGACGGTGCGCCGGTGGCGGACGGTGCCGGGCCGGACGGTGCCAGGCCGGACGGCGCCAAGGCCCCGCGCGGCGACTCGCTGTCCTCCACCTCCTCCACCGCCTCCGCGGGGCAGGGACCCTCCGCCAGTGGCGCCGCGCCCGCCGGGCTGGGCGCCGCGCCCGCCAGCGTGGCCACCGACTCCAGCGGCGGCAGTGCCGGGCCCAACCCCTCCGTCTTCATCCGCGACATCCCGCCCGCAGGTGGGTGGGCGGGTGGGCGGGTTGGGGTCTGTGCGTGTTGAGTGCCCGGGGTTGGGCTTCTTTGTTTGTGAGGATTCCCTGATGCAACCTGCCAGACCGACAGGACGCCCGCAGCCTGGCAAGCGGCTGATCCATCGCCAGATGTCTGCTGCTCCCGCCCAAGCTTCTTCCGCCCACCCGCCACAGCACCCACCCACAGAACACCCCCCCCCACACACACATCCATGCCCCGCAGTGAAACTGGAGCAGCTGGTGGAGGCGCTGACGGCCTTCGGTCCGCTGCGCCCCAATGGCGTGAAGCTGAAGCAGCAGCGTGGGCGCGACAGCTACGCCTTTGTCGACTTCGTCTCCCCCGACGCCTCGGCCGCCATCCTGTCCCAGGGCCTGGAGCTGGAGGGGCGCGCGGTGACCATCGCGGAGAAGCGCGCGCAGGTGTTCTACCGCGCGCCGCGCGGCGGCGGCGCCGCACGCCCCGCTGGCCGCGGCCCCGGCCCGCAGCCGGACGGCCGGGGACGGGGCGGGGCGGGGCCCGGGGTCGGGCCGCGCGTGCCCCTCCCCGTCCCGCTCCAGCCCTACTTCCCCACCATGCCGGGCCCGGGGCCAGCGGGGTACGCCGGCGTGCCAGGCATGGGCCTGGGCGGGGGGCCCCTGGCTCAGGGGCCCGGGGTCGCATACCCGGGGCCCGGGCAGCAGGGCGCGCCGGGGCCGGCGGGGCCCGATCACGGCCACCCAGGCGTGGGGTACGGCTGGCAGGCGCCGCGCGGGCGCGGCGCCAGGCCCGAGTACGGCCGTGGCGGCGGGCGGGGCGCGGGGCCGGGCGGGCGCGGCCCACCCCGGCCCCAGCAGTGAGCGGGGGTGGCGCGCCCGGCGCTGCTTCGACGACTCGGGGAGGGATGGCCTCGTCGCCGCGTGCAGGCCCCCCCCCACTGCGCCCCCTTCTTCCCCCTGCCGAGGTGCCCGTGTGCGACACGCACACCGTGTGCGCGCCTCGTGCCCAGGACGGTGTCCGCGAGCTGCGGCGCGGTGGGAGCCGGGCCCTCACCAGACCCACCCCACGCGCGCCTCCCCTAGCCAGCTCGCCCAAGCCAGTTTTCCACCTGCACCTGTCCCAAGGCCTCCCTTCCCGCTCCGTGCATGGGCTCCAAGCAGCCCGACCCCATGCACATGTCCCTTACATGCTGCATTATTGCCTCTGGCGCTGCCTCGTCCTGTTGCAGGAGTGCCGATACAGCCAGGGCGGCCAAGGGGTGCGGGGCAGTGGCGGGAAAGTCGGCCGGGGAGGGGCTTCACACACCGGTCGTTCTCGCTTTTGGCCCCTCGGCAAGATTCCTCGGTCAAGACTGCCCTGAAAGTGGGCAGGGTACCATGCCAACTCCCTGCCCACCCTGGATCAAGTCGAGGGTTGACTCAACATTGGGTGATCTCGACCAGGCAGGTCAGTGCCGCCTCCTGGACGTCCCTGGGGGCTGGCTTGCCGGCCTGCAGCTCCAGCACCAGCCTCGACCCGGGCCTCTGCACCGACACCCCTCCCTGGGCGGGGCCCGGGTTCTGGATCGCGGCCCGGATGAGGCGCAGGCCGTGCGCCTCCACGCAGGCCTTCACCGCTCGCAGGCGGCGCAGGACGAGGGCCTGGCCCTCGTCAGACTCTAGCTCCAGGGTCACGCCTACCCAGTCCCCCTTGGCATCCTGTGGCGGGGAAAGGTGTGTGAGGGGTGACGGACCCGCTTGGCGCTGTTGGGCATGGACTAAGAGGGCACGACGCGGACCTGAGCAGGCCAAGTGGGCGCGTGTGCAGGGCACAGGCCTTGCATGCCTTTCACGCCAGGTCTGGCCCAAGCTGACCACGAGCCGTACGCATGCGACAGCCACCACGCAATTCCTGCAACCTCCTCCCTGCGTCCATACCTGAATCATGTCCATCCGCGAGACCACACACCAGGGCTTCGACTCCACTGCACCGGCAGGGGGCGCATGCGCGGTTGCCTGGGGCTCTCCGGCAGTGCCCAACGACGGAATGGGTTGGCTAGAGACGCGAGTGGGAGCCATGGCCTGGGCAGCCACCCCTTGAGCCTGCCCACCTCGACCGCCGCCGCCGGGCGGCGATCCCAGCAAGATGGCCATGGGTGGGAGGCCTTGCTGCATGCCCCCTTTCCTGACGGCCTGGTCGTACTGGTACATTGCCTTGGCCAGGTCGATGTGCGCAGCCGACAGGCTGGGTCCCTGAGTGGCTGTGGCCTCGGGCTCAGGCACTGGCGCAGGGGCGGGGGCAGCCGTCGGTGCGGCCCTGGCAGCCCTCAACCGGGAAGTGGCAGCTCTGGTGTTGCGGGGAGCAGTCCTGGGTCGGGGGGAAGTAGCTCCTGGCACGGGAGGGGCGGCTCCTGGCTCGGGTGTGCTGGCCAGGGCAGGAGGAGGAGCGCTGGCCAGAGCAGGAGGAGCAGCGCTGGACGGACCAGGAGGAGCAGCGCTGGACGGAGGAGGAGATGTGGTGGCACGTGCCACTGCTGGGGCCGGCGGGGTAGGCAATGCCACAGAGGGGGACACAGGGATTGCATGGGTGCGGGCTGTGGGTGTGGGCTGGTGGGGGGCGGCCTGCTCTGTACCAGCTGAGGCTCGCGTGGGGCCTCCCTCGCCGGCTTGAAGTGAGGGACCGGTGCCCATCGAGGCAGCTAGAGGAGCTCCTATTGAGACAGGAGCTGGTCCTGCACTCTCAGGCTCTAAGGGAGATGGCGAGGTACCAAGCTGGTTCCTGTCCACCCGTCCCGGATCAGTGCTTGTACCCAATGCGGGAACGCTCAGTGCGGCACCCTCAATCTCCACAGGTGCGGCAGGTTCGATGCTGCCGGCCTTCTGGCCTCCGGGTGCAGGCTGGCTGAGCAGCGCGTCCGCGACCGGAAGCACGCTGTCTTTCGGATGACCGGGCGGGGGTGTGCTGCTGTCTTCCTGCTGCCCGGCCCGCGCTTCGACAGCCCCCTGCTGGACAGGCAGGGTGGGAGGTGGGCCTTCTGGTTGACCGAGAGGGCCCTGTCTGGTTGTTCGGGGCCTCTTGGCGCCCGCCGGGCCCTCCGTCCCACCAGTCGTGGAAGCCATGCTGCTGCGGCGCGGCCGCTTGCCCTCACCAAGGCTGCCTCTGGGTGCCTTTGGTGCGGGGCTGGCATTGGAGGGTCCCTCCTTGGGATTCGCTCTGGCCTGCTTGGGTGCCGTCCCTCGCAGCTTGACTGGCGGTGGCACTGGATCCTCCGAGTCCTGCCGCAGCAGCATCTCCAGATCTTCTCCCTCCAACAAAGCCTTCCTCTTCTTCTTCTTCTTCTTCTTCTTGATGTTCCCATCCGCCTCTGGGGGCTCAGCTCCCTGCGACTGCAGCGCGACGTGCGCCTCCGCCGTCTCCCCTGCGCCGCCACCGGCCTTTGCAGGCTGCTGGCTGGGCTTGCCAAGGTCTGGGGTGGGGCCAGCCACCTTCCCAACTGGTGCTTCCTCATTGCCAGCCGTTCTGCGCAGTTGCAGCTGTACATCTCCAGCGGGCAGTGCCCGAGCAGCCTGCCCCGGTTTGACTAAATTCACGGCTGTCTTCCCATGATGCTTGCGAGAGACAGCGTCGGGGTGGCTTTTCTTGTGGCCCATGTGCTTAACGGCCGCGGGAATGGTCGGCAGGTGGGAGTTGTCCCTCTTTTCTGCCTGGGGCGCTGCTGGTCGGAGAGGTGTCCCGCCCTCCTCCAGACGCTCCACGGTCTGGGCAAGGAGGTCCAGGCCGTTGTCGTGGAGTCTGATTGAAGGCGTTGATGCATGGCTTGCATGTCGCATGTCTGGCGATTTTGAGGAGTCTGAATCCCAGTCGTCGCTCGAGCTGACCAGCGACAGCTGGGAAGCCTCTGCACCGTGGCTTGGCGGAGACCCTTGACTCCCTCGAAGCCTGCTGACAATAGGATGGGAGGGTAACTGCATTGCAACCCATATGTTCGTAATTGGACTTCATGCTTGTGAACAGAACACCCCGTCAAGGAAGTCCGCTGCTTATGAATCCCAGGAAACCCTGTTACATCCCAGACCTCTGCCCCTCCATCACTCCCCCCAACCTGTCGCCCACCTTGTGGCTCTGACTGCCTGGGTGGTGATCTCAGCGGTCGCTCGATCCCGCAGCCAGTTATGCAAGGACTTGCCCGTCTCTACAACTCGGATGGAGCTCTTCGCATTGCGGCAATGGCCGCGTCCGCCGTGAATCTCCCACTGCCCCAGCGTGAAGGTCTTGTAGGTTGGCGCGCACTTTGCGCAGCAGCACAGTATCTGCATGCTCTTGGGGTCCAGTCGGCCATCGTGCGGTCCGCACACAACCCGCAATGAGAAATTCCGCAAGTCCATAGCGGTGCTGGGAGCCATCGTCTCACTAGTGTCGCGTACCAACTGCATGGGTAGGATTTTTTTAGCGGACAGCTTGGTAATAGCCTAATGAACATATAAGGACGGCATCTAGATATTGAACGGCGCACTGGAGCGCTTCTAGGCTCCTGGAGACGCACCCTTGCAATTCCTGCACCTCTCGGTCGACCTCTGCCGATCTCGCTGCAAAGCCCCTTCGAGCAGATGTTCCGGACCCAGATGCTCCTGGTGCTGCCTGAAGACACGATGGCGAAGTTCTTGTGGTCGACTGTGGCCTAGGGGTCCGCTTGGAGTCCACCAGGGTGGGCGACGAGCCCTGAAAAGCAGGGTTTAAGGGTTTACGCGGAACTCAGTCAGTGGTTGAAAGCACTTGCCTTTTATGCCCTCAACTGGGCACCACGTAACACATCAAGAAGAAATTGGGATGAATCGTGTCCAGGACATCCATTCTTTTGCGAGGTATGGCATGGCTGGAGTTGGAAGCGGTCGTTTAATTCGGAAAACGCCGCGAATCTCAAAGGGGTCCAAAACTGACGCAATATGACTCGGGGCATTCCCGGACCGGATTATCTGGGTGCGCAACGCCAATGCTTGATTGTTTGTACCATTGCTGGATATGAATACGGTGGGACATTTGATAGTGCGGCTTCAAACGAGGCTGCACAGCGCCCTGCTTGGTGGAGTCGCAGTCGGAAGGAAACATGTATTCGCATTACATTTCTCCGCGGATTTTTCAGGCTTTGGCGGATGGTTGAAACCCTGGGATAGCCAGCCAGAGAAGAAATTGGCAACGATCATCTTGAGCATGACAAGTGGCCAGCTCACTCAAGCTCTCCCTCTCTGAGTGTGATTGCTGCTCCATAACATCTGGCATCCGAATCGACTGCACAGTACAGGGGCTCACTACCCCGAAACTTGGATTGTGGGAGCATACTGCCGCGAGGTTGTCACAACATTCGCAAGGGAATGCACAGAGAGGCCTCGTATGATGATACAATGATTCCTCAAGATTACAAAGATTGGCTATCGCACCAGAGGCTGGGGTTCCTTCGCCACAAACCCAAAGATGTTCCGCACCATGCGGATAGTGTTGGGCGCCTCTGCATCCTCAATACTGAAGCAGCGAGCCATTGTGGCCTTGAAGGCTGCAAGGAGATCCGCCTTCTCTGGGTGTTGCTTTCGATAGGTAGTCAGTGCGGACCAGCTGTTCAAAAGGCCGACCTGTGGGGTGTGCCAGGAAGTTGTTTTGCAATCCAGCCATGATTGATATCGAGGGCTGCGCCTCCGACTCTTAGTATGGTGGTGAGCGAGCCACAGTCCTCACGCATCAGCACAGCAAGATACCACTATATGGATGAATTCTGCCCTGTTCATTAGATGAGCAACCCCGCTTTCCCAGATCCTTACCAAGTGGTCGAGCGACATGTCCTCCCTTATGGCCATCCCCTCCGGTAGCCAGGTCACGTCCTTGAAGTGGGAGCATCCAGGCTCCAGACCCGCATACCAGGCCTCGACCAGAGCCCTCCCTGGTGCCCAGTAGGGGCCGAGCCCCTCTGTCCCCGAATGGAACTCGGTGAACGCGGCATTGGCTGCTGCAACATCGCTGTCGGGAATGCTCCCTTGTGCCGCGCTGCCTGGCTCCAAGTAACCAAAGTCGTAGCCCCATATGGCCAACACTCCATCGGATTTTAGCACCCGGCGCATCTCCTGGAAGAACCGCTCTCGATCAAACCTGGCACGATGGGTCGGTCATGGGTAAAATCGCATCAGATGCTCTCCTTACTGAGGAGAGCCGGAACCGCCCTGGTCCGAACCGCAAGCCAGAGTCTCGTCCGGATAGTGCAGCGGACTTGTACATACCCCACATTAGATCTTACTCACCAATGGAACGCCTCAGCTACTGTTGCCAGGTCCACGCTCGCATCGGACACTCCCTGCAAGTCTTCGGCAGGAACATGCTGATATGTGATCTTGGGGTGCCGGACAGCCTCACGGAGTTGCCCGGCGCTGCTATCCGTCCCGATGACGGTTTCGAAGTCATTTGCAAGCACCTTGGCGACCTGGCCGCTGCCCGTCGCCACGTCCAGTGCCGTGCCTCGTCGTGGCAGCTTTGCAAGGCCATACACGGCCTCGTAGAGTTCGGGAGGGTACGACGGCCGGAACTGGGCATAGAATTTGGCTTGATCCTCGAAAAGGTGGCCCAAATTGTCTGGTTGCATTGCAATTGGGGGTCTAGACAGGGCCAGCGGGAACGAACGTGGCCAGTCCAAAAACCTGACGATCGAAAGGACAATCCGACCAGACACAAATCGATTGGCAGGGGGTTGATTCCGACGCCTTGCGATGACAGAGGTTTGTATGCGATATTTACACACACCCGGTCACCCAGCGAATGAGGATGCACGTGCGCTATGGCTGCATCCCTCTGCTGACCCTCCAAGGCTTGCCTGGGAGGTGTCGAGATGGCTCGTGGCTGATTGAGAACAGTGTGGCTATCACTCATACACAGGCAAGTTGGGAAGAATCACCCATTTATCCAAGGTGCAGACGACATTGCTCGTTGCACACGAAGGTACTCGGTTTCACGGCGGTAAGAAAGAATCACAACCCACGAATCTGCTCTGTGGCGATCTTCACAATACATCCAGTTCCAGGTGCTCCTGGGCAGCGGCTGGCAGGTTGGCCAGCGCTTCCAGGGCAAGCGGCTCCCACTGGGTTGCTGAGGAGAAGTCCTTCAACTCCATCCCGGATGCAAGGCCCCTCAGCAACTGTGCGAGGGACGAATGGAGCGATTGTCTGTACATGTGAACACAAGGAGGAGGCCATGCCCAAACCAATGTCCAAAGATATTGCCCACGCAGTTGTCTTTGCCAGTCTCCAGCACAGAGATCAGATCACGATCTGAAGTCTCTCCATTCCCAACCGCCCCGCCTACTTGCCTGCACAACGCGCATGACAAAGAAGAGATCCTTGGGGAAGCGGGAGACGCCCAGCTTCTTGATGGGAGAGTCAGGGTCAAAGGGGTCAACTCTGCGTCGTGGGGTGGTTTGGGAGCGGCGTCAGCCTTCACTCCAGGATGACCTACTGTCCATACTGCCGGCAGGGCGTCTGGGCGCAAGGGGCACGGCAAGTGCACGCCCAAAATCGCAGGCGCCACAGGCAACTCTCCTCAACCCCGCGGCTCCCAGCGGCCTCAACTCCCCCCCTCCCTTTCCCTCTGCCATCATCCTCACTTTCCACGGGTGTCAAACATGCCGTACGCCAGCTTGGAGGCCAAGGGGGGGTCCTCCCGCTGCGTCTCGACGCCCAGCGCGCGCAGCGCGGCCGAGATCCCTGCCTCATCCTCGCGGTGCAAGGCCAGGATCAGGCGGGCGAACAGGGCGCGGTAGCTGTCGGGAAGCTTCTTGGACTGACCGTAGTCGATGAGGCCCACCGTGCCACCTGTCGTGGGATGGTGGGACGGGGAGCCTGTCAGGGCGAGGATTGCAGGCCAAGCCCAGGGGTGCACGGCAGGGTGGCGACGCCCTTGAGCGCCGTCCATCACGCGAGCGTCATGGGAGGAGTGCCATTGGGCGCACAGGGCACTGCGTGGAGGTGCTGTGGCGCCCGGCACGCTCCTCTCCCGGCCAGGCAGCATGCCTCCCTCCCCCTGCAGCCCCACCCTTCATGACGAGGATGTTGCCTGGGTGGCAGTCGGCCTGGAAGAGGCCGTCCAGCAGGATCATACGGCCATACGCCTCACTCACGCGGTCCAGCACCCGCCCGGCCGCCAGCCGCCTGGTGCTGGCCGACAGGCTGTGGGAGCAGGGGGTTGCCGAGGGGCAATGGGTGGGGATGGAGGAGAGTTAGGACCACAGCAGTGCACAAGGCGGGGCGCCGTGTCAAAGTAGTATTGCTCGGTCCAGGCCGCACTTGCACTTGAAGAGGTCCAAAGTAAGCTCAAGAGGGACACGAGAGGCACCCAGCATGACTCCCGCAATCGATCTTGCCGTCTCCGTCCAGATCGACCACGCGCCTTCCCCTCATCCTTCTGCCATGCATGCACGTGTAAGCCAGCCTCCTACCCATCCCACTGCCACACAGCCAACCCACCTGGAGGTGTGCGCCGCCAGCCGGGTGATGGGGATGCCGTCCAGAAACTCCATCACGATCATGCGATCGGTGACCAGCCCCGGGATGCTGTGAGGCACCTTGATCTTGTGTCCCAGATGCTGCAGGTTGCGGAAGGGTGAGGTGATCGCATTGGTCTTGGGGCGTGTGTGCGTTCGTATGCATGTATATGTTTCAAAGGGAAGGAGAGGGATTGCTTGTGAGCCAGCTGCCCACCAAGACAACGCTTGGGGGCACTGTTGATGGGTCTTGCACTGCACAGACCATGCTGAGGCCCCACTTCTCTGATCTCTGAATATCCCCCCCTGAAACCCCCCACCTTGAACTGGTCTGCCACAGCATCCATCACGCGCGCCTCCCTGCGGAAATCGAACTCCAGCCGGATCTGGGCGGCCAGCTCGTCCACGGCCGACACCAGGTCAAAGTCTATCTCGGTCTTGGACAGGAAGGAGGACAGGCGGCGCAGGTTGGCCAGGTCCAGGGTCATGTCATTCAGGGCGTCGGGGTACTGGATCTGGGGCGGGGAGGGGGCGGGGAGGGGCGTGACGGGGAGCGCCTGTGGCGTGTGAAGCGCCATGAGGTCAATGGGACAAAGGACATGGAGGCAGGGGATTGAGCAAGCACGAGGGTCACGTCCACGCTTCCCTTGGCGCAAGGCCGAGGACCATGAGCTCACCTTGACGGCCACCACTCCGTCCCGGGGGGCGGCGGCGCACGCGAGGCACATGTCCGCCCCGCCCGGCAGGAGGGCCGGGGGCGGGGCGTCCCGCCCGCGCCGCGGTTTCCACACCCACTCCCCCAGCCGCGCCAGGAGCGGCCTGCCCCGCTGGCTGGGCGGGCAGGCCAGCTGGGCCTTGTGCACCTGCGCCACGGAGGCGGAGCCCAGCGGACGCTCCAGGTCTATCCAGGCGAAGACGGAGGTCAGGGGCGCCCCCCCCAGCTCCGCCTGGATCAGGGACGCGGCGCGGTCGGGGCTCATGGGCGGCACCTGGTCCTGCAGGCGCGCCAGGCGCTTGCAGATGGGGGCGGGGACGAAGTCGCCGCGCGCGCCGATGAACTGGCCAGCCTTGAGGTAGAAGCCGCGCAGGGAGATGCAGAGGTCGTGCATGGCCTCCCCCGCGGCGGCGTGGTGCGGCTCCCAGTGCTCTGCGGTGATGCGATCGGGGGACCAGCCGGAAGCCTTGAGCAGCTGGGCTCGGACCTGGGCCACCTTGTAGCCGGCGTAGATGGAGCTGGCCCGGGCCCAGAAGCGGGAGGAGCGGGAGGCAGCCTCCCACCATGGGGAGGGCGCCTGGGGCGGGCCCAGCGGGGCCTGAGATTCATGCGGCGCCAGCTGGTGATCAGAGGAGGTTGGGCGCTCCCCCACAGCCATGCCTGGGAGCGTGGCTGGTGGACGGGGCGAGCCACTCCTGATCTTGCGCCCTGTGGCTCTCGGGCACCACCACTGATTCAGCCACGAACGAGGCACCCAAAAGCGCCAGGCAGAGAGTAATTGGTATCTGCAGGGCTCACAATATGTTTTTGTGGTTCGCTCATCTGCTGCGCGCTCTGCATGCCCGCGCATGGATGCGCGAACGCAGCTGGACAGTATTCAGGTCGACCGGGGTGGCGGGAAGGGGGGTCCCCACTCGAGGTCAAATGAGTAATGCCCCAGCACTCAGCACTCGCCGCCCAGGCCACGATCATTACCACGGGGTGGGAGCTGTGTGACCCTCTTCAGGATCGTCGGGTGCGGCCACATAGGATACAATGGCCAAGTTCTCGACCACCGTGACGAGCTCCCGGCGGAAGTGCCGCAAGGTGGGGCGGGATGCCGGACTCGCGCCCGGCTCTGGAGCCCGCCCTGGAGACTGATGGCCGGGAATGCTGTGGCGCTCCTTGTCAGGCATTACCGAGTGGCCTTTGATGTATTGCGGGCTCCCGTACCCTCCCCGTGTCTTTTGTTCATGGCGTGTCCTCCTCCCCATGTCTGCAGGCGCACTTCACCGCCCCGTCGAGCGTGCGGCGGAAGTTGATGAGCGCACCTCTGTCCACCGAGCTGCGCGCCAAGCACAGCGTAAGCAGCAAGACTGGCGCTGGCGGGAGGGGAGGGTACCCAGTGCCCGGGGGTGCTCCTCGAATCCAGTCTGTGAGCAGTGGGTGGGAAGTGCAGAGCCGCGCTCATTCCTGGGCCCCCTGCATGCCGCTGCGCAGGTCCGATCGGTCCCCATCAGGAAGGACGACGAGGTGACCGTGGTGCGCGGCACCTTCAAGGGTCGCGAGGGCAAGGTGGTGCAGGTTTACCGTAAGAAGTGGGTGATCCACGTCGAGCGCCTGACCCGCGAGAAGGTGAACGGAGCCACTGTCAACGTCGGCGTGGACCCCTCCAAGGTGGTCATCACCAAGCTGAAGCTCGATAACGACCGCAAGGCCCTGCTTGAGCGCAAGAAGGTGGGGAGGGTGGACCGGAGTGCATGCTGCCGAGCGGGGATGGTGGAGGTCAAGGCTTCCAGGTGTATCCAGGCGCTTTGTTGTGGGCCGGCTGCGGCACCTGCATCTCTCTACCACTTCACACCCTTCCACTTCATTTGTCGTTGCAGGGCGGCCGGGCGGACAAGGGCAAGTTCACCGCCGAGGAGGTTACCGCCATGGAGAACGTCGACTAGGCACCTGGCCTCTGTCAACTGGGGCTATGCGTGCGGCGTGACTCGCCCGCGCATGGTCGCCTCTAGCTGGTGTGGCTTTGCCACCGTGTCCCCCTCATTCCTTGCCAACACCCCCGGTCTGGCTGTAATCACGATGCAGCTCTCACTGTGGGAGCGGTAGAGGGTTCAAGGGTGACAGGTGGCTGGACGACCACGGGGATCGGAGAGGCGCTCTTCATGTGGGGAAGCTGATGGAGGAAGAATTGCGAGCTGGAAATAGGGTGGACAGCTGGTGTGAAGCTGCAGGACTGCTCCAAGTGGAAGGTCCGGGCGACTCACAGGTCGGGCTGTGCCTAAACCCCTCCCTCTTGGGCATGAGTCTTCCACCCCGGTCTCTCGCGCGCGGCACGGCTTGCATGGTGCTGCACGGAGGTCGATATGCCCCATACCAAAGGCACGACGCGCACAGGTAGATGGTGTCCTCCCTTCCAACGGTCAGTAATGTAGGACATGACTCCTCAGGAGCCCGACACGCCCGGCGCATTCCTGCGCTACCACCAGTTCAAGGTGTGTACGCGAAGTGATCCCGTACCAGCCAGCCAGCCAGCTCCCCGCGTGAAGTCCACCAGCCCTCCCTCCCGTCATATCAGGTCTCCGGCGTACTCTTCGAATGCCCCAGCTCCTATGCCCCCATCAAGCCCATCGGGAAGGGGGCCTACGGCATCGTTTGCTCCGCCTGTGACGTGCGCACCCAGGAGCGGGTGGCCATCAAGAAGATCGGGGCCATCTTCTCCAACCCACTGGACGCCAAGCGCACCCTGAGGGAGGTCCAGATCCTGCGCCACCTGACAGGACACCAGAATGTGGTGGCCCTGAAGGACCTGTTCCCGCCCCCCTCTGGCCCCACAGAGTACAACGATGTGTACATGGTGCAGGAGGTGAGCTGGCTGGGTGTGAGAGAGGTGCAGGGTCGGGAGCCAGCGCGCTCAGGGACGGCGCCTGCAGGGGTACCCAGGGTGTTGCTGCCGGGTGCTGGCCTTGGCGCGGGCCGGCATTTGCCGCTGGAAGGGGTTGGGGCCTGCCCGCCAGGCACATGAGGGGTCCATTGACTCCCAGAGCCATTCCAAGGAATGCCCCACCGCAAGCCCTCCTCCCCATGTGCAGCTGGCAGATACAGACCTCCACCAGATCATCCGCTCCCCCCAGCCCCTCTCCGACGACCACGTGCAGTTCTTCCTCTACCAGGTGACGCCCGGGGGCCGCAGGCCAGGGTATCCTATGCCACCCCTGTGGCATGCGTGGCTCGTGCCAGTCCCTCGGGAATGCCAGATCGCGGAGGAGCCGCCGTGGACCGACAGCCTGCTCCCCCCGCTGCCTGCAGATGCTGCGCGGGCTGAAGTACATGCACAGCGCGGGGATCGTGCACCGGGACCTGAAGCCCTCCAACCTGCTCATCAACAGCAACTGCGACCTCAAGATCTGCGACTTTGGGCTGGTGAGGAGGAAGGAGAGGAGGTGGGACTCGGCGATCAGAGGGGACCAGGGAGCAGAGGGATCGGTGCAGGGTGAGGACCGGCGTGCCATGCTCAGCCTCGGCCCCACACCCCTCGTTTCACAAGGCTCGGGCGGGGCCCGATATCAACGAGCTGATGGTGGAGTACGTGGTAACGCGGTGGTACCGCGCACCCGAGCTCCTGCTCTCCTGCGCCGACTACGGGCCCAGCATCGACATGTGGTCGGGTGGGTGGCCTCCTCCGCGTGCATGCTGCGTGAGGGAGGGGGGAGCCGGGGAGGGGCCCGGGCCGGGCATGTGCATGCAGGCCACCGCAAAGTGCCACCACGCAGGTCTGCCTGAGCCTGCGTGGCCCTGCAGACGCCGTGCGGAGAGGACAGCCTGCAAGCCATCGAGGGCACCCATCCCCCTCCCCCCAAAACTCTGCCTGCAGTGGGGTGCATCTTTGCAGAGATGCTGGGGCGCAAGCCCCTTTTCCCCGGCAAGGACTACGTCCACCAGCTCAACCTCGTCTGCAAGGTGGAGCAGCCGGCTGGAGGGGAGACCGGGGTGCTGTCGCGCGCAGGAGTCGGGCGCTGCCGTGCAGCGCCCTTGAGACCCTCTTTCTACCCCTTCCTTTCCGGCAGGTGGTGGGCACGCCCTGCGTGGAGGAGGTCGAGCGGGTGGCCAACCCCGACGCGCGCGCCTACCTGCGCTCCATGCCCTACATGCCGCCCATCGACCTGGGCAGCACCTTTCCCGCGGCTCCCCCCGCGGCCATCGACCTGCTGCGCGCCATGCTGCGCTTTGATCCCGGCGACCGCATCGGGGTCCGGGCCGCGCTGGCGCACCCCTACCTGGCGCCCCTGCACGACCCCTCCGACGAGCCGGACTGCCCCTCCCCCTTTGTCCTCAACGGCGCGCCCGCCCAGCCCAGCCTCGAGCAGGTACGGCTGCGGATGGGGCTGCGCCGGCCGCCCCAGGGCGATGGGAGGGTGCTGGGGTTTGCTGACCTCAGGGTGGGTCACGCCAGAGGACTTGCAGAGGCCAGCATCCGCCACACCTGAGCCAAGCCGGCGGCAGGCCAGCAGCCCAGGCAGGCCTTGACCGTGTCGCCATTCCACCCTGCATCCCTCTGCACACAGATCCGGCAGGGCCTGTTCCAGGAGATGGTGGCGTACAACCCCGACCTCCAGGCTCTGTGCTGAAGCGCGGGGCCTGCTGAGCAGGTCCGGAGCGCCAAGTCCACGCCCCGCCGGCGCTCAGCCCCTCTGCTCTCCGCCTTGCGCTCGCGTGCCCCCTCACACACTCGTTGCACGGAATCGGGCACCTGGTCCCTGGGACATGCGTAACAGCTTCTCTCACGCTGCGGTCTCACAGCTGTGTGGACGGTCACGGGTCACGGGTCTCGCTCCGGGCTATGGCACAGGATCCGGGGAGAGGGAGAGGAGCAGGGCCAGGCAGACCAGGCCGGCGGCCAGCCGCCAGTGAGGGAGGGGGAGTGTGCCCGCCATCGGGTCCCCCCGCCACCGCCGCCAGGCGGGCAGCAGGCGGCGAGGGAGCGGGCCGCCCAACCGGCCCGAGGGGCTGAGCACGACGGGCGCGGCGCCCCGCCCCGGCGCCACCTGCCTCACTCTACTGCCCCCCTCGAGCCCCAGCCCCCGCTCGGCGACGCAGGCTGCGAGGCGCAGCGCCCCCTCCGCCAGGCGCAGCGGCGCGGCCAGCGCGGCGCAGGCCCCGGCGTAGGCGAGCGTGGTGGGCAGGAGCAGGAGCAGGGGCATGAGCAGGAGCACGGAGGCGACCACGACGCGCACGCTCTGCGCGCCGTCGGGGGGCCGCCGCGCGGGCCGCG